CTACCATGGGCGGAGTCTCCTTCGGGAGGTAATGGCCCTGAACCCGTTTATACGGGTTCAAAAAACCGACTAATGGCTTGAATTGTAACAGGCCTTTGCCCCACCCTCGTGGGGGTGACTCAATATCGTGAGTCAGCCGTTCACTTTTGAACAGACTGATCGGTTCAACTCTCTGTCTCCGGACGGCGGGAGGAACCCGAAGGAGGCTACGCCGATGGGCGGAGTCTCCTTCGGGAGGAAAAAGCTGGCCCTGAACCCGTTTATACGGGTTCAAATGCCGAGCCTAATGGCTCGGGAATTCCCCACGTTAAAAAAGCCTTGTGCCTAATGACACCCTCGGGGGGTTCAATAATTGAGTCAGCCGTTCACTTTGAACAGTTAAAAAGGCCTTGTCGCTCGGCCCTGAACCCGTTGATGCGGGTTCAAACCCTCGAGCCCACGGGGGAATCCCACAATAAAAACCGACCTTGTGTCACATGTTGCCCCAGTGGGGGAGACTCAATATCGTGAGTCAGCCGTTCACTTTTGAACAGACTGATCGGTTCAACTCTCTGTCTCCGGACGGAGGAACCCGAAGGAGGCCAAGCCGATGGGCGGAGTCTCCTTCGGGGAGGTGCGCTCGGCCCTGAACCCGTTTATACGGGTTCAAATTTTTGGCCGAGCCTAATGGCTCGGGAATTCCCCACGTTAAAAAAGGCCTTTTGCCACCGACCCCGTGGGGTGACTCAATATCGTGAGTCAGCTGTTCACTTTTGAACAGACTGATCGGTTCAACTCTCTGTAAAAACCGAGGCTACGCCTTGGAGTCTTCATGTTGCCCCTGAACCCGTTTATACGGGTTCAAATGGGTTATTTTTTGGAGCCTAATGGGGGAATTCCACGTTAAAAATCGTGAGACACCCTCGTGGGGGGTTCAATATCGAGTCAGTAGTTCAAGTCGAGTTCAAGTCGAGTGAAGAGTCTAGTCAGAGGCAGTCCGAAACAGAGTCGCGTTCAGACAATTACTACAAGACGTTGGAATAGTGATACTGGTCGAAACTACATTGTTCTCTCTACTAAACCTGATTGTTCATACTAACACTTCTACTTCTCTGCATATATTCCTGTTTGTAATATATCTGTGTTATTCCATACTTGTGTTCGAGTTCTTCTTTACTGGTTCTACCTTGGACTATCACCGTGGTACAAGGAACAGTTCTGGTTGTCAATTTTTAGATTAGAATTACACATACCGTATTAAACGACGAACAGAAAATAAATGCATTCAAGTTATATTCGAACGGAAATGGTAAATTCAGAATTTCCCGAGATGCAATCGGATAACAGATTCTTTCAACGCAGATGTTTGCATCTAACGCGTTTATTGTGTCCTTCACAAATCCAGGATGTGCGATTTCCGGTCGCTATGTCTTCGTACTAACATCTTTGGGAATTGTACGGATTTCAACTCCCTCTGCGCAAGCACAATATTAGAAAGGGATTCTATTGAATGGCTTTATAATCAATTAACTTTCCAAGAATTATTTACTCATGAATTAAGCATCAATATGGATTCTGTCGAACTGCCACCATCTTGCCCGCCAAGCAGCCTCACCCAATGTCCACTAGGTGCGTCGTATCAGTCAGTTATGTGCCATGCGTGATACACGCTTAGGCGATCATGTATATTTCGATACATGAATGACGAGGCAGATTTTTTCCCGCAGTAGGTTGCCATTTCTTTCTGCCATCCAAGGTCTGTCCTGCTATTTATCTATAGCTGCTGAAAAGAAGATTCATACCTTTCCCAAGGGTTTTAGCACGTAAGTGAATATAATGGATTCGACTGGAATTCGAACTCGGCTCTCCGATTCCTCAATCCGAGCCGCTATCCATTACTCCACCGTGCCTCCTTCGTAAAAGAAAAGGGCGCATATTCTCTTCCTTTTGTCTCTCTCTTTAATCATTTGATGCTGTATTGACAAAACGTGTCTCATTTCCCCTCTGGGAGACTTCTTAGTTTCCAGCTGAACCACGTGACATATACAATACACTACGCTAACTCCTTTTTAAAAACAGAACAATAATATCCCCACTACAATCTATTATATATATGCAATAGATTGTAGTGAGGATATTATTGTTCATAAATATACATCTCTCTCTCCTATCCTATTTCGACGAACGAGACAAAGCCGCTACAAACAGAAGTCTCTCGTAACGAAGTGAGAACCTAATGTCTCCATTCTCCACTAGCTTAATCGGGTATTGAACTCACACTCTTTGGGTCCTGTCACTGGATCTAACCAACGCCTTTATCCACTGTGCCATGTGTCCTTAAGGACAATGCCCGATTAAGGCAGTGGAGAACTTGAAGAGGTGAATTAACAGGAGATAACTGATAACAGACATCCATTAAACATGTCAGTCATGTGTCGAAAGATACATGATCGCCTACGCGTGTATCACGCATGGCACATAACTGACTGATATCAGTATATCTATTGTCGTCTCGATTCTATTTCTGCTTTTACTGCTGTATAAACTCACGTGTATTGGTAGAAAAGGTAATTTCTCTTTATAATCTTCTTTATACTATTCATACTCGGACTATTGCCCTCACTTTTGCTGATATTATCAAAACGTTTTGGCTGTTGTTCCCTTCTACTGGACCATGTGAACTCAATAAGACCTTCGATAGAGTTCACAATGGAGATGGCACAGTGGATTAAGGCGTTGCTTAGGACCCAAAGAGTGTGAGTTCAATACCCAGTTAAATCAGTGGAGAACTTTCAGAGGGAAAATTAACAAGGAGATAACTGATAACTGACATCCACTAAACATGGCACGTGGAACTAGAACAGTCTACCCCAGTGAGCGAAATAAAGGGTTCAGTTCGACATTCCAACCACCTGAAGAAGGCCGGAGCGTACAACAGCCGAAACGTTGTAATAAATGTGGCGACAAAGATGAGGACCATAGTCCGAATAATGTAAATAATATATAGAAACCCTAATTAAATAAAAAGTATGCGTGGGAGTAGCATAATAAAGCATATGTATGCCCTATCCTGTCATCAATCCTTGCATATTTTACACTTGATATTTCCTTTTTGTGTGTGTGTGTTTTTTAATATAGACAAAATTAGAGAATTTTGCTTATTCACTATTCTTTACGGTCAGTAGAACAAGTGTTAAAGCCAACATTTCACAGGGTGATTTCTAAGGTCATTGGAACCTCCTGAATTGGGTGCTAGCTCTGGACCATCAGGATGCGACCAACAGAGTGAATGTGACTGGCGATCAAGGGATCACTCCAGTAGCGTCGGCCTCGTGCGTTACATGCGACCCGATGAAAATAAATACGGCCACTAAAAACCAGGCTTTTAGAGAGAACCCTTCCGAAAAGATGAAGTTGAAAAGTTGACAGCACGACATTTTTATTTTTCCACAACGCTATATGCCAGAATAAGTTTAGGAAATACAGTAGAATCCCTTATATCCGGAATCCCTTATATACGGAATCCCTAATATCCGGAATCCCACATGTCCGGACATGATTTTGATGTGCATATTTGAAATATTTGGTTGATATGTAACTGATTTGAAATTTCTGTTTTTCAGGAAATTTACTTTGGATAATTGCTTATGTTTATTTCACCCAAAGGGCTTGTATTGGTGCAAAAGATGATGGGAATAAGAGGAAAGGACGACAATGAGACACATCCGCAATAAGATAGCGACGAGATGCATGATTGTGATGAAACCGGGACTGAAATTGAAAAAGCTATTGAAATGGTTGTCAGTTTTATGGAAAGAAAGCCAGCATTCAGCTATGACGATTGCAATAACGCACGTAGAGTTAAAAAGTGTCTTTCGTTTAAAAAATTTCAAGAACAAACGCCAAACGAAACGCAGAAAAAGTTGAGAAGGACATTAGAAGAGAAAGAATCATCGTGAAACAGCGATTAAAAAATCCTTGTTACATTATTTGTTTTGCATACGTGGCAGACTTTATTTCATGAATTTTCATTAACATTACATTTCTTTTTCCTTAAAATCAATTCCGTTGTATTTCACTCATCATTAACTTATTTTGTTTACTATAAAACATTGGAAATAAATGTTAAACCTGATTTCAGTTCTTTTATTTTAATCTAAATATAACCTCTCATATCCGGACTTTGTCACCAATTCCTCATATCCGGAAGGCCTTCTTAGTCCGGTTGTCAGGGATTTTACTGTATCTACATAAACAAGTTCATTTTTGTTCCTACACAGACAGTTTGAGAATTTAGATTTTTTTTCTTTTCGATGTAGCGTTCGATTTAGTTGAGACTCTAAATTCCAAATGTCAAATAAATTTTATCGTCCACCAGAGAGACGCGTTGAACAAAAAATAGTCTAAAGCTTTATTGTCTGACCTTTACTAAACAAAGAATTCAAATTCCAAATCTATATTTTTATACCAACAAAATCTAACGACAAATATTAATCGATGGACTTGCTTTTCAAATCATTTATATATTCATCTGGAACGTTTGGATTTGGCGTCTTTATTTTGTTGAGAAAAAATAAAAATAAAAGAAACAAACAATACATTTTTCTTATAAAACGTTTTATTACCGAAGAATGTGTTTGAAATTAATTTTGAAGATAATCCCCAATTCAAATATTTATTGAAAAATCGCTTTAAATGACAACAAAAAGTCCCTTCCCGTTTTTTCCCCCAAGTTAATTAAAAAAAATTGTTTCATTCCACTCCCTCATTAACTAAAAAGATTTGGTTTTTGTGCTTAGTGTGGTCTTTTTTTTTCAAATACTTTTTCTTTGCTTTCAAACTGTTGTTGTGTGTCTAAATTTGTGGTGAAAACAAATTTCTTAGCCTGATGCAAATAAAATAAAAAATAAAATAAAAATAAAAAAGGAAAAATTAAACATAAAAATAAAGAACGGAATTAAAAAAAATTAAAATATTACTTTTAAAATGTGTTAAATATTTTATGTTTCTTAAATAATTTATCAGAAAATAGGGATAACCAAGGCAAACACAAGAATTAAGGCTCCAGTGCACATGCGCAGTGTATTGGCTCCGCCGTCGGCTTTAGTTTCTTCTTCCGCCTCTGATTTGGTTTTGGCTTCAGTTTCCGGTTCGGCTTTAGGCATTGCTTTTGTTGGCTCAACATCTACTTTTTCTTTTTCTTCGACTGAAAAAAAAAAAAGAAAAAAAAAAGGATTCTTGATAACAACACATTTTTTTTACAAGATCTCAAAAGTTTTTAAACTGAAATGGACGGCCATTAAAGCCCTTACCACTATATCATTGACGTCGACTAACTTATTCAATGCATACTCTGTAGAAGAATTCTTCTGCTATAAATGGTGTGATCTAAGAAATTAGTTGTGTTTTCGCCTTGCTAAAGTCTTGGAAACAAACATTTTAGTCGCGTTGGGAAGTGTTTGTCAAGTTAGATAAAGTCTTGTTCGCTTAAGGAAATTTTGTATTGTTAGATAAAGATCGGTTGCTTAAAGACGAGTCTGTCTTGTTCAAATAAGTCTCCATTTTTCACAGATCCTCATTTTAAGATCGGGTTTCTTAATATTCACCAAACCTCGTTTAATACGAGACAAAAATTGTGATGCGCATTTTTCTAAATAAATATGACTTACTTATTTAATCAGCGTTAGCATATTTCTTCATTACTCTGGTCGCAACTATTCTAACCACTGAATAGGATTTCCAAATTTTGTTTCTTCCCTCATTTTTCGTACGACAATTTCTCATCCAATGAACCAAGCTTTTTTGGTCACCTAACCGTAACACTGTTCTTTGCAAGCCACAAAACCTAAATATTAATCTGAAAGCTTGAGTCATGGTATTGAATAGCAGAGGTCAGACTTAGACTGTCATGTGGATGTCCGGAATAGCATCTAACTCGTTCAGAATTCTCTAAAAACTATCACGTATATACAACCATTTTCTCAGATTAGTAATTAAAATGGCTTTAAGCGAATAAATTCTCTAGTCTTAAATAAAACAATCGTTCATCATGGTAAACAGGCTGGCGTTACAGAATCACAAAGACTAAATAACAAAGATCACACCACTTGAAAACTTTCAACAGTAGTAATAAATAAAAAAGATTGCAGAGGTAACTAAAAGAGAAATAATATAATCAAGATTTTAAACTTTCCACACAAACTTAAACAAAAGGTTAGGAAAGAAACTCCTATCAGTACTAGAAAGAGCGACAACAATTAGTGGACTTGAGAAATCTATTGTTCTGAAAAACTCTTTTAACCCCTTTCCCGGCGTAGATGTGTATATACGTTTTACCGATAGTAACTTTTTAGACACGGACGAATAAACACGTTCAAAACATAATTTTCAAAAACCAGCTACAGACGCGTTTATACGCCGATCTTGATTTACTTTATGCCCTTCTAAGCTTGAAACGAGTTCAGTTGTCAACTCATACGTCTGGGAGAGGTGTTAGCCACCGTTCGGGTACTTCAAGATGCATCATTTTTTCCTAAACGTTTTCTCCAAAATAATTGGCGGGGAAGGGTTAAAAGAAAGATTTTATAAATTTCAACAGACTGTTCAGTTAATGAATGCCAAATGTTTCCTTACAAGGAAAAGGCTAACTATTACCATTTGATTTCATAGTCGAAGTCACTTTTTATGTCAGTCTCCTAAAAATCGGGAATGAGAATTCAAATTTCGATCTTTTATTCCCGATTCATTCTATTTGCTTAAAGGTCAGTCAGTTCTCACTGGAGACGTTATATATGTCACCTTGTGCCAAAGTAAGCGAAGATTATTAACTATTCACAAGGATACTCGCTAGATACAAATCTAGTTATCATAGTCATTTGTTCCTGGATGTTCCACTCTTGTGGCCTTTTTGTCAAACTGAACTAAGATGAATAAACATCGGCATAAAATTTCTTCTAGCAGATTACGTGTATATAAAAGAAGCCATGAGAACACAATAGTTGTCCTTTACTCACAATTTCCGTTTAATTTACGAACATGAGCCCTGTAACATATTAGGGTCGTTAGAACACCACACGCCCTGCAGTTGCAACAGCAGTGGGTGTGTCTAGGGCCAGATAGCCTCTGGTTTTGAATTGAGAACTGTCCTTCGAGACTGGCTATTCCAATAAGGCTTATTTACTGTAAGCTCGGATGGGAGGGGGAATGTGGCTTACAGCCACATCATGTTGAAACACCGGTTCCCATACGATCACTGAAGTTAAGCAACGTCGAACCTGGTCAGTACCTAGATTGGGAATACCAGGTGCTGAATGTGCGGGTGGTGTAATGGATAATGGCACGGAATTGTTAACTGGAGAACCGAGTTCCAATTCCAGGTGGGTTCGTTATATTCACTTACACAGAAATACGCTTGGGAAAAATATGAACCCATCTCTCCACCCCCAGCTATGAGTTAGTTAGTAAAACTTTATCATTAAACCATTGTTATCTCAAAAAACATGTTTACAATCTAAAACATTTTCTGGCTTTAAATAACCTGCAAAGAGTTGATAAGAATTTTTTTTAACTAATTTACACCCAATCTATGGCCCAAGGCGTATTCCTTTGAAAAGGAGCTACGTTAATATTTTATACAACTGTTTTCTTGCAAAAAAGCAAATAACTAGTAAGGAGTCTTCTACAAACGGAGGATGAATGTTAGGTAGGTAGGTAAATATTAACCATGTGTTCTAATATACACTGATTGTCGGCATCTTGCTGCCTCTATCAGTGTAGGGTAGCATCTTAAAATGATCCTGTTGTGAGGTGTTCTGATCATACGTTGGCCTTCCCTGAATGTTTTTCTTTTTATATATATATAGAATGGACGAACAGGTCCGTCTATGAAACTCTGGAGTCGGGATGCTTAAAGTAACATCAATCAGCTAAGTGACAAACTTTTTTACTTATATATATATATATATATATATATATATATATATATATATATATATATATATATAGGCACGGTGGAGTAATGGATAGCGGCTTGGATTGAGGAATCGAATCCATTACATTCACTTACGTGCTAATACCCTTGGGAAAGGTATGAATCCTCTTACTCTCCCTCCAGCTATGGGTAAAATAGCAGGACAGACTGGGTTCTATAGCCTTGGATGGCAACTGGTCTAGGAGAAGGACAACATTGAATTCAAAACCTACGGAGGGTCGTTTGGGAACCTGGTGGCATTCGGTGCACCAGGTCTCTGTATTCGTCCCTTCAAAAAGTGTGGATGGTCCTGCACGAGGCCTTCACCACTATAATCAAATCTCATGTGCCGGTGTCGGGCTGTCGATTTCCTGGAAACTGATCTGCTTGACCCTCATACGTCGAATCTCGACAGGAGAATCGATTATATATCAATGTTAGTGTGTCATCGTGGTACACTTTTTCAATTAAAGGGGCACAATTCTTAATAGGTCATCTACTTCTTCTATATAATAAATGTTAATGTCAGTGTGTCACTGTGTCACACTTTTTCCACTTTACTCCTAGAGGCCGTAACCTAACATATCATACCATTTTGGAATCAGGCTGACTCCGTGAGCAAATTAAAACATTCCGGGCTGACTCTTTGGATTTTATCAAGAATCTCTAAATATACAGCAAGAGCACCATACAGTAGTATTCCAAGAATGGACAAATGGTAGACTTATAAATATTTAAGACAATGACCCGACTTTCATAGCAGCAGACCTAGCAATGGATTCAATATAGTCTTTCTACTTCATGTCAGCTGGAAATGTTAGACAGAGAAGATGCAACGTCACTCTCTTGGAGGTTAGCATCAGCCATACTGATGGGAGGTAGGGAAGGGTCTTTCAGGTGATTATTCGTTTTCTGTTAGGTGTATGCAAAACATTTCAGATCCTTAAATTAGAATAATAGCCTATTAAACTAGAAAACCTGATAAAACGAGAAATAATGAGGAATGAGTGGCAAGATAATTTGGCACCCACAGGACACACTGAAGACAAGAGGAGAAGAAGCAAACAGTGAGTAATTTACCTATCGGCTTGTGTAAATGGATGACTAAACACGGATTGGGAAGGGTAAAAGGATAAACATTTATTGAAGCTACAATGATAAGAAGTTGTTTTGGCCATCATCGCGTACGTCCTAAAAAGTCATCAAAGAAGAAGTGTCTGTTTAGGATGTCAATTTAGTAAGAATGTAACCCACCTGCTTCGGTGTCTACTGCTTTAGTCACTTTTTCTTCCGGTTTGGGTTCAGCTTTTGCTTCCTCTTCCTCTGCTGCTGCAACGCCGGCGTCGGCATCGGCCTCAGATTCTGCTTCCGGTTCTGCTTCTGCTTCCACTGATACTTCAGGCACTGCTTCCGCATCTGCTTCTGCAGCTGGCTCAACTTTAGCTTCTGGTTCCGCTTCCGCTTCCGTTGCTGGTTCTGGTGCTGCTGCTGCTGCTGGTTCAGCCGCTGCGGCCGCGGCTGCCTCTCCTTCAACACGGGCCACAGGTTCGCTGTCTGTTTCCGAATCTGTTCTCCCAAATTCACTCTCCGACATGACTTCGGCGTTTTCAGCCTGGACGAAGATCGCTCCGGTCATACATAAAATGAAGAACATCACTAGCCAATTTTTCATTTTGATGGTTTCCGTTGTAAAAAGCAGTAAACAATGGCAGGAAGGTTATCTGTAAAGAGAATATCATAGCATGTAAATAATCATTTTCAGTGTAAACAAATACTACCTATATCCCATAATACTATCTATATCCCATAATACTACTCATATCCCATAATAGTTGTTACACTTGCATAAATATTTCATACACTAAATGGAACAACGTAGTCTTTCATTTTTCATATGGATCTTGGTGAAGACCACATTTCTTCGATCCTTGTGGACTGGCGCTACAGAATCACATAAAACAGTACCAGATAACAGAAACAACATCGCTTGAAAACTTACAAAAGCAGTAACAGCTAAAGTAGATATCATATGGAACTCGAAGGAAAAATAATTATCACTATAAAGATGTTGACATTCCACACTGCTTCAAATAAAAGGGTAGGAAGGAAACATCCAACAATAATGGAAAAGGCAATAACAGCTATTAGGCTTGAGAAACTATTTTCCTTAAAATGAAAAAGGGTCTATAAATTTCGATCGACAATAATACAAGCTGTTTTGTCAAAAAATGCCGAATGTCTCCTTATAAGCAAACGGTTAATAGTACGATTGCCATAATGGTTAACAGTCCACCAAATAAAGCATTGAAAATATAATAATAAGTTTGATTTACTTTGTTTTGTTTTACGGCATATCAAACTCAATGGGTCATTTAATACCGACAACTTTTTTTTCTGGTAATATTTTTGTTTTGTCAAAAACTCTATTTCTGTTAATATTTTTTCCTCAAAAATATATCGCTGGTAATATTATTTTTTCAAAAAAAAATATTGCTGGTAATATTTTTTTTCTTCAAAAGTTTATTTCTGGTAATAATTTTTTACAAAGTATTTCTGGTATTAAAACCTATTTTTACACTTTTATAATGCTTTTTACCTCAGTTTCGGAGTTAACTATTTGCCTATAGCTGGGACCCTAACAGATGCTACCACCCCGGGTCAGGGTGGACCTGGGAACACCAGCAATTAAGAAGGGGTTCCACGCTTCTTAAAACTTCCTGATCAGAGGCCTTTTGTTGGATGTAGTTTATCGTCTTACCCAGGACGACGATTCATCAGAAGTAGAATGCAAAATGTTTTAAGAACCACTTTTCATCGTCAAAAACAAGAAAGCTACAGGACTTGATGACATCTCACCGGAAGTATAGAAGATTAGAAAATGCAGTATACAACAGAAGTCGAATTGAGAAATGGAAAAAAAACCAAAAAAAAAAAAAAAAACCCAAAAACTGAGTGTTCCATTTCCAAAGAAAAGCGATATGGAAATCAGCAAGAATGACAGAGGTATAACTCTCACAGACATACCCATCAAATATCATATTCTTCAATCATATCCGAGCAGAAGTTGAGAAAATTCTACGGAGAAACCAGAATAGTGTTCGCCGAAATCGTTTCACTATTGCTTAGATACTACCAGGAGAATCGGTGGAGGAGTGAAATCGAAGAACTTGGAAGCCGCTCTTCTGTTTGTGGACTTTTAAAAGGTTTTTGATTTGATACATAGAAGAAAAACAGGGTAGACTCGATTGGATTATGATATTTCCAACGAGACTGAACAGCATCATAATGACGTTGATAAAGACAAATAAACCAGGGTACGATCCCCTGATGGAGACATCAGATCTTTTGACATTGTTACCTGAGTTTTGCAATACATCTGCACTCCACTTGTTTATTGTATGTATCGATCATGTACTGGGAATTCTGTAGACAAAACCAAGGCAAATAAAGTAACTTTCAAACAAGCAGAAGATATCCGAGAGAAACCATCACACGCAGATTATGCAGCTGACAAACTATTTGCATATAATCATTATTTCATCGTCTAGACAAAGATGAAAGAGGAATTGGTCTTCATGTAAATGCAGACAAAACAAGATTTCATGTGTTTAATTAACAAGGCTTCATCAATTCCTTGTCATGAGAACCATTAAAAATAACCGAAAAGTTCTATTATCTTTGAAGTAACATTATCTCGTTCACTAAAAGTGCTGGGAACATTTTCATTGGCAAGGCTTAGCCTGCAATGGAGAAGCATCAGTAGTCTGGAAATCTGCTTTTCCTAGACAGGACTTCTATCAAGCCATAGTTGTATCTGTCTTGCTCTACGATAACACCATATGGACATTGACAAATCGATTAAAAAATAAACAAGATGGCGCCTGTACAAGGATGCAGTTCAATTGTGAAATCCATAAATTTTTCTCTGGCTGTATAGTATGTGCTCCACCGGGGCTACATGCCGGTTTTGAATTCAGAGTTACCCTTCTTGTAGACTAGTTACCAATCACGGGTAGAAAGCCCAGACTGCCCTGCTATTTAACCCATGGGTGGGGGAGAAGAGATGGATTCATATCTTTCACAAAGGTATTTGTACCAAAGTAAATGTAACAAACACGACAGGAGTTCGTAGTTAGTAGTTCGAACTCGGCTGGCCAATTTTTGACATGCCAAGTTCTAACCATTAACTTACATACACATCCCCAAAATAAAAGCATATCGATTTGTTATTGTCAATTTCATTGTGAAAATATTGACTAGAATCATAAAATATGACATGGTGTAATAAGATGTATGTTACACTTATAATGAAAACATTCAGACGAACAGTTTTGTTAATTTTAAAATGTCGACGGTATTTTTTTTGTGAAAACAAGAAAAAGAGAAATATGCAAATGAGGAACATAAAATAAATAAATAATAATAAGTAAATAAAATAAGTAAATGAATAAAAAATCTTTTGTTTGTCCATTTGATGATCTGGCATTTTGCCAAATATTCTAACGTTTACTTCATTCTGATTTGATCTTAAAACGACTTGGCCAAGTAAATGCCTGGTTACTGTCCAAGATAAACAATTCTGTTGAATTTCATTCTTGCTTTTGTAATTTGAAAACAAAACATTTTAGTAGAATGACTTAAAATAAATGTATAATAGAAATCAATAGGAAACGATTACGCTTCACATATATGTGTGTGTGTGTGTGTGTGTGTGTTCAAATATATAATAGGAAAGAACCGTTAGATTGATGATCCAAAGTTCTTTAATATTTGTTGCTTTTATTTTTAAAAAAACAGTTCAAACAAAACCTTTAACAGTGTTTTTGAAGACATCTTTCCCAAGTCTCATTACTACGCTGGGGACCTGAGTCGCAAGATTGAGAATAAGAACTTAACTTGAAAAAAACAAAACAAAAAAAAACAAACAAAAAAAAAACGTTGTTTCACTGTTCCGATAAATTTTGCACAGTCTCAATCCCCTGCTGACTATTTTTAAGTATAGAAGAAGAAAAAACCTATAAGACCAAGCCAACAAACCACTAATCCATTATAAAACAAAGCCAGCAAAGTACAACGCCTACAAAGTAAAAGCACACATTTTCATAGACATTATTTGACGTGAAACGAAAATACTAATCTCGTTAACGTATTATTATTATTATTACTAACAACAACAACAACAACAATAAAAAGGACGACAATAATAATAATAATAATAATAATAATAATTAGTTCAACTAGAACTGTCCTACAAAACTACAACAATTGGCCTCCAAAGATACTTGGAAACTACAGAAGACTGGATAATGGTATGTGTCAAGTAACATGAAAGTAGTGTTGTCTTTACTCCGTAATAAAGGAAGCCAACAAATTCAAAATGGAGTTTCAAATGGGCGCAGAAATACAAGTAAAGACAGTACACCAGCTGAAGCTGCAAAATACTTAAAAAAAAAAAGCAAAGACAAATGCAACCGACCAGATACAGAAACAATAGCAAGATAAACCGCTTCATGACTAATACTCTGTCCGGACCAAACCAGATGACATAGACAAAACCCGTACCCATCAGTGGCTACGTAGTGCAGGGTTGAAAGCTGAAACTGAAGGTTTTTTTCCCTACTGCACAGGACCAATGCTTGTTAACTAGGAATTATCAAGCACACATACTATAATATTGTGGTAGCCCAAAATGCAGATTCTTGTATCAGGTTGCACGATATTGGCACCCACTGAATTAAAATCCCGGCATGACAGAGTGGGCCAATATCTGCACTGGAAAATTTGCAACTTTTACGAGAAGGAAACTGAAAGAAACTGGTATGAACACCATCCAGACCCGGTTACGGAGACAGGACCTGTTACAATTCTATGGGACTACACAATACACATTCACAGAACAATCAAAGCTAACCGCCCAGACATTGTTATTAAAGACCACAAACAAAAAAAGTTCCTCCTTATTGATATGACAGTCCCTGCAGACTGTAATGTATCTTTGAAAATATTCAAAAAGCTATCAAAACACAAGGACCTTGAAATAGAAATCTCGAAAAGGTGGCATATGGCAATCCCTGTTGTAGTTGGAGCCCTCGGTTTGGTTGGAAAAGATTCCAGTAGACTAATTGAAGGGATTCCTGGAAGTCCATGTCTCAGAGATACAAAAAATTGTTCTCACAAATACAGTCCACACTTTACGATTTACTTTTTTTTTATTTTTGTCAGTGGAAAGTGTCATGATTCCATTTCTAACCTTATATCTCCGGGCGGGACTCGGAAAGAAATGTGTACACGCCAAAAAAAAAAAAAAAAAAAAAAAAAATAAGCAGCAG